CTCTAGGGCACCCACCTTTACCCTTCTGTGGGCTCAAGCCGTAACCTTGTCAATTTAAACACACCCACCCTTTCCCAATTCCTAGGGCTCTGGGTATAAGGCACCCAACTTTACCCTAAATTTGTTGCCCGCATGCTCTAGGACATCCCACCTCTACCTAGTTCTTAGGGCTCAAGGCGTAACCTGGTTGATTTAGGCACCCTCTCCCTTTCGCCAGTTCCCAGGCGAAAGGCACCTAACTTTACCTCTCCGTGGGCTCCGGGCTCTACCCCTCCATGGACTCAGAGCTTAATCTTCTGCGGGTTTACAGGGTCTTTGACCAGTGAAAGAGCATTACACAGGAAAATCCTACTTAACCTCTATTTATTAACAATCACCAAAACAGAATGCACACGCTAAGCATATGATGCTCTCTACAATATGACTACAGGAAAAGGCCTTATCCTTACTCCTGGGCTCACCCTTCTCCCCCCAGCCACCTTCCTCTCATCTGTCTGCATCTCCCTGCAGGTTCCCTCCTAGCCGAATTCTTCCGCGTCTTTGGGGACCATGACTTTGCTGGCTGCGTGATCTCGCTGCAGGAGGGCCGGATGCTGCCCCTGCCCAGCTTCCTGCTCTCAGAGGTGGGTGCCAAGTTCAAGCTGGGTCCTTTCAATGTGCAGGACCCCTTCGAGCTGAGCCACAACGTAGCAGCCAATGTCAACGAGAAGATAGCGCAGCGGTTCCAGCACTGCTGCCGGGACGGGGCCAAATACTGCCGCAGCCTGCAGTACCAGCGCAAATCCAGCAAGGGCAAGGCCTGGGGGCTGGTGCGGCTCTTCCAGCCAGGGGTGCCGGAGGCTGGGGAGCTGGGCCCCGATGGGCTTCTCATCACTATCCCCTTCACGCTGATGGCGCTCTCCCCTGGGAGCCGGCAGCAGCTGTGCCAGGCCAGGGACTTCGGGCGCTGCTGGTTTAACAAGGTTTGTGCCGCCATCACCTTCGTGCTGAAGGATGTGCTGAAGTGCAGCTGCACGGGGCCTGCAGGGGAGCCCCTGGGGCAGGAGCCCACAGAGCAGAGTGGAGGGGAGCAGCCTATAGTGGGGTCCAAGCACCCCCGGTCTGACGAGAGAGGAAGCTTGGTTATCTCCCCAGCCAAGAAGAGGCCGAGAGTAGAGGGCCCAGCGCCAGAGGAGGAGGAGAGCGTGAGCTGGAGCTGTGCTATGTGGCACCGTGTCTGGATGGGCCGGCGCCGCGTCCGGCGCCAGCTCCGGCACCTGGGCAGCCCCCAGCCAGACACAGAGCAGGAGGCTGGCTCCCTAGAGGTGGAGGAGAAGGTGTCGGAGGCCATAATCCAGCAGGAGGGAGATTCCATGGGGGCAGAGCCGTTGCTGAGGTTCACGGCCTGTGCCCGGGTGGGCGGAGGCCAGGAGGACACACGGACCCTCCTGTATTTCACCCCAGCCCCCCAGCAGGGCTCCCTGTTCCAGGACTTCTATCACTTTCTGCAGGGCTTTCTGCCCAGGATGGTGGAGCGGTATGTGGGCAGAGCAGCTTGAGGCAGGGAGTGACCACTAGTGACATCCATGCCAGCACTCTGAGACTGGGGGATGCTATTTTAAATGGACTTTGCTGTGTCTGTACCATGTGACTGGGAAGGGAATAAAGGGTCTAGACAAGTGCCCCTCTGGGCTGTGCCTGTCCCGCTGCTTGTGGGGTGGGGGGAACTGGCTGGGGGCCTGGCTCGAGTAGGGAGCAGGCAGTCTCCAGCTGGATGCAGGCCTGTCTCCTATCTCCCTGCCCAGCCTTTTGCGAATTTACTGCTGTTTGTCCCCTCTGGTGCCCCATAGAACTGGGCTTTGAAGGCCTGGCAGTATTCTGCATGCACATTATCGGGGATGGGGCAGATTCTTCATTGGGGCGGGGGCGGACTATCAGCAATGGCCAATGGGGCACGAGTGGTGAGTATATATATATGCAGTTGATGCCCTGGGAAGGGAGGTGGGGCGTCAGTTGCGGAGCAAGGAGTAAGAGGCCTGGGGTGGACAGACCTTGACTCTGGCCAGTTCAGCTCCGCTCTCCTCTCCATGCAGCAACAGTAGCACTATGTGCTCCATTGGGGGCTATCAGGGAGGGATCTATGGGAAGGAGTTTCAAGGGGGCAGTAAGTGGGGGGGGGGGTGTACTGGGAAGGGATGGGAGGGCCCTAGGAGAGGCAGCTCAGAGCAGGACCAGGCTGGGCCATGGCTCCTCCCAGAGCTTTGGGTACTGCCTTTCCCAAGTGGAATAGGTCGGGGTGTGGGGAGGGAAGAAGAAAAGGTATTTAGGGCCCTAGAGCCTGCAACACTCCCTCCCTCAGGGTCAGGCAGGTGAGGCAGCATGGGCAGAAGGGGGCCAGGCTAGGACTGGGGTTCTAGAGGCGATATAGCCCCTTTTTCCCCATAGTGTTTCACCTGTGGGCACCATACCTGAGGGCATTTCACAGAGATTAACAGGTTAAGCCAGGAGTGGGGGTGCAGCAGCAGCGTGGTCTCTGGTACTTTCAAGTAAAGCCCTGCAGTGCAGTATGCTACTTAACTCCCTTCACTGCACCTACTGAGTTCTGAGAGGTGGGCGGGTCCAAGACCCTTTCCCCAGCCTAAGGGGAGGGGCAACAACCAAATGATACTGGGGTACAGCTAATAAAAAAACAGGGACAGGATTGAGGATATAGGGCCCTAAGCAGGGAACTGGAGGGGGACAACGAGCAGAGTACCCCAGACGGCGCCTATACTCCTCAAAGGGGTCTAGGGAGCCAGTGGATGCAGCCTAGAGGAATTCTGCCCAGATGTGTGATGGAAGGGAGGAGTGGAAATAGGCCCCACAGTTGCAGAGCACTTCCCTGTCCAACATCCTCTTCCTGGTGTTATCCAGCGCCAGGAGGAGGTTGACGAGGAGGGCTGCTGACTTTGTGGGGCCATAGATAGGAGATGCGGGGAAAAGTGCAGACAGAACCTTAGGAGAAGGTTAAGCCAGGGGTGGGGGTGCAGCAGCAGTGAGGGTTCTGGTAGTTTTAAGTAGAGTCCTGCAGTGCAGTATGCAATTTAACGCCGGTCAGATCTACTCCAACCAAACATAGGGATGGGGAGGGAATGGGTGGCTGTGCCTTGGGAGATTGAACAGACAAAGGGTGGGACATAGGCCCCTTAGACTGAAGCAGTCTTATGTCGTCATTCATTTAAGGGGGGAGTGGGGGAGAGACTTCAGGCACCCTGTACCCATTCACTGATTGGATCCTGGTCCTTGTGCACCGTAATTAAGTGTAGGCCCTAATTTGCATTTTATTGTGTCTTGTATTGTAGCCATTTGTTTCCACCATTCCCTTGTTGCTAGTGGAATCTGTTTTCTTAAATAAAACTTTTATTTCATTACAAGTGCTGCATGTTATACAATCGCAGGGATTTAAGGTAAAGCTAATACATTGGGGTAGGGACAGTGCTTCTTGGGGGAGGGGAGGACACTGAGGATCTGGGATTTGTGTGGGGCTGGATATCACAGGGGAACATGTGTGGAAAAGAGAAGACTGAGAGGGGACATGGTCGCAGTTTTCAGGTATCTAAAAGGGTGTCATAAGGAGGAGGGAGAAAACTTGTCCACCTTAGCCTCTAAGGATAGAACAAGAAGCCATGGGCTTAAACTGCAGCAAGGGAGGTCTAGGTTGGACATTAGGAAAAAGTTCCTAACTGTCAGGGTGGTTAAACACTGGAATAAATTGCCTAGGGAGGTTGTGGAATCTCCATCTCTGGAGATATTTAGGAGTAGGTTAGATAAATGTCCATCAGGGATGGTCTAGACAGTATTTGGTCCTGCCATGAGGGCAGGGGACTGGACTCGATGACCTCTTGAAGTCCCTTCCAGTCCCTGAATCTATGAATTTATGTTTTGAGTGGCTGACAGGCTCCTGGTGGTCCTGAAAACCATCATTCCCCTCCCCCCTCCTGAGGGGCTGCACTATACTGTCACTAAAGGAGAGGCCAGTGAAGACTTGTGGCTTCTCTTCTCGGCCTCCCAAAAGACAAGCAAAGCGAGTGCAGAGTTGCCAGTATTCAGCCCCTCAGATATCACCCCATGTTTACTTAGGTGTGGAAATAGATCAACGGTTCTCAAACTTTTGTACTGGTGACCCCTTTCAAATAGCAAGCCTCTGAGTGCGAACCCCCCCGATAAATTAAAAACACTTCTTAAATATATTTAACACCATTATAAATGCTGGAGCCAAAGCAGGGTTTGGGGTGGAGGCTGACAGCTCATGACTCCCCATGTAATAACCTTGTGACCCCCCTGAGGGGTCCTGACCCCATTTGAGAACCCCTGAAATAGATTTAAATCCTCAATTTAGGAGAGACCTTAATGCTTTCTTAAACCCATTCCTAGACAGGTCTGCACTTAAGCACATGCTTAAGTTGATGTGATTTGTGCATGTGCTCAAGTGCTGCCCTGAACAGGAATACTTTCCTAAATTGGCAACTGAGGTGCAGCTGTCTGTGCAATGGGGGTCCATCTACAGCTGGGAGTTAATCCGGATTAACATGTGGGTGGGTACCCCTGGAGGGCAGCTAAACCGCAGCAAGGCAGCACTACTCGGGCACAGCGCGTCCATACACGGGGTTAACGTCACAGGAGCCAATCCCCTGGACCCACTGAAGTGTAACTAGGTCTGTGGAGTGACAGGGGACACTCCCCATGCGCAGACAAGCACTAAAACCAGCCTGCCTGGTGCAAAGCGGGGAACAGCCCGGGGCAGCAGCCTGACAACTCCTGCAGCGGGAGCGTTCGCGCCTCCGCCCCGCTCCCGACTGAGATTCGAACTTCTGGCACTCCCGCTCCTCCCCGCCCTGCCCCGCCCCGCCCCGCCCCGCCCCCTGCTGGCCCGGGCACCCGACGCGCCCCGCCCCATGGCGGCCTCAGGACGTGTTCTCACGTGGGTTTGGATAGATTTGCACGGCGGCCAGTAGGCGCTTGAGATTCTAGTGCCCCACACAAGATGTTAATTGGCTGAGAGGCGGCGGAGGCGGGGCTAGCTGCGCCTTGGGATAAGGGATCGAGGCTGCAGCCGGGTGAACCCCGATTCCCCCCCCGAGCCCTAAGGGGCCCCGGGCTCCCCGCCGCCATGTCCGAGCGTGAGGAGCGGCGCTTCGTGGAGCTGCCGCGCGAGTCCGTGCGCCTGATGGCGGAGAGCGCCGGGCTGGAGCTGACGGACGAGGTGGCCGCGCTGCTGGCCGAGGACGTGTGTTACCGCCTGCGGGAGGCCGCCCAGGTGCGGGAGCCGGGCCCGGCACTGGGAGCGGAGATTGCACCGGGGCTAGGGGGCGGGCCTGTGACCCTTGACCCTTCCCCGTGAGGGGCTGCCCCCAGGACTGGCCTGAGCCCCCCCCGCGGGCGGCTGTCCTTGGGGCTGGTCCCTCCGATTCCTCACTTCCCCTCTCCCCTCCCGCAGAACAGCTCCCAGTTCATGAAACACACCAAACGCCGGAAACTGACGGTGGAAGATTTTAACCGGGCCCTTCGCTGGAGCAACGTGGAGGTGAGCGAGCAGGAGATGGGGCAGCGGGAGACTGAACCAGGAGCCCGGCAGGGGGAAACTCACCTGTTGCTGCTGCTCTCTCCTGCCCACAGACCAGTGCTAGCTGGATGGAGTCCAAAGAGCGCCCAGTCCAGTCCTCTCTACCAGGACACTGATGGTGGTGGCAGGCCTAGCTGTCCCCAAGATGGGCCTGGTAAGGGAGTGACCATCTGGTGTCCTTGCAGGTGGTGTGCGGCTATGGCTCCCAGGACCCCCTTCCCTTCCGTGCTATAAAGGAAGGGGAACTCTACTTCCAGGAGGACCGTGAGATCAATCTGGTGGAGCTTGCCCTGGCCACCAACCTCCCCAAGGGCTGTGCAGAGACAGCAGTGAGAGGTGTGTGTGATTACTCCATCCTCCAGAGTTCTCCCTCCAGACTCTCTAGGGCTTTGGGCAGCCTGCCTCTGAATGTCCCAAATTACAGGGTTCCCAGCTCCTCCCCTGGGGAGGATCTACTGGCCACATCCCTTCCCCCTATCTGCAAGCAACAGGACGCCCACCCAGCCCCTCTGCCTTGAGGACAGCCCCGTCCCCCCCATCTATCCCATAGCAGGGCGCAATGGAGGCCACCAGGGGAGGATAGTTCCCTGTCAGGATTGTTTACCAGTCTCCTTTAGTCACTGCTCAGCCAGGCAAGACACATGTTGCTTCCCCTGTAAATTAGTTCCTCCGGCACTCAGATCCAAGCTGTTGGGCTAGTGACTCTTCACTGGACCTGCATCTAATGCATAATGAGCACGATAACCCAACTTCTCAGAGCTAGTGAGGTGGGGGTTGATGCCCCGTGCTCTGTGACTAGGGTACCTAGATCTCTCTCCCAGGCTGCCTCATGAGAAGGGGAGCATCCTGGCCCAGGGAAGGCTGGCGGGATCAGCCAGGTTGTTTAACAGCATTTGTGCTTTCATTGTAGTTCACGTCTCTTACCTGGATGGAAAAGGAAATCTGGAACCACAGGGAGCTGGTAAGAACTGCCCAGTAACCCATTCCCTTGCCCTTATCTCCTCCTTGTATTGAAGCTGCATGTACAGGCCCCAACCAGGAGGGGGACCCCACTGTGCCGGGTGCTGTACAGACATTTGCTGCCCTGCAGAGCTAACAATGACCTCATCCTACTCCCTGTTAAATTGCTCTCAAACTAAACCCTGAAGCAGGAGGTTTTCTCTCCCTTCCCAAATCTTTGCTAGCATTAACTATGCAACACTTGCTTGTCCTACAAAAACAACAAGGAGTCTGGTGGCACCTTAAAGACTAACAGATTTATTTGGGCATAAGCTTTTGTGAGTAAAAACCTCACTTCTTC